GCAGGCACTCTTTCCTTCTATTGGTGTGGATTTTTTTTTTTTTTTGGTGCGAATTTTTGAAAGTTGGTGATAATTAGCTATGAGAATACAAAAATGGTTTCATTTTGCACTGTATAAGGTTCACGTGAAAGGACCACTTATTTCTCAGGTATGGTGCCCGCCTTGTGATACACGCAGCTATTTTATTAGCCACCATTTCTCACCCAGGTTCCCCGAAGGATTACAAGGAAATCGGTGAAGTGTTCTTGCTGTGTATACTTTAATCACCCGTAAATTGGAATTACCATACAGTATGATGATCAGAATCAACAAACAGATAACAAATTTATTGCCCTAATTGGGTAATGTATCTCAGTGCGAGACTCGAGGGCATTATAATAGGTTTCCACGCTGCAGAAGAAGGAATTAATTAGAACTGTTTGCTCTCAGTTCCGTATTTACACTTGTCCACCCGTCTCATAAACATTGCCTGGTTTCCTGGGTCCTCCAGGCTCCTCTCTTCTGACTCCCCCACCCCACCCCCTAAATAAATAAATAGAACTGGAGAGTAGAAGTTCACATCTTCCTTATGTGCAGTTCACCCTCACCGGAAGCTGCATTTCATGGTCAGAATCTGACAAAATCATCACTTCCCATAGGACCCGCCTCTCCACGGGCCAAAATGGGGAAGCTGGGGTCTTGGTTTGCCAGTACTGTGTCTGGGATTGTCCTTGTCCATTCAGAACCTGGGGACAAAGCTGGTGAGATGGGCAGATCTGTCCCAGTTCACCCTGCCCCACCAACAGTGCCTCTGAGGAAGGTAAGAGACATTCGTTAGCTCTGTCTGCCCTGGGAGCCAGCAGCCCATGTGAGCAGAAAAACGATAACTAGGGAACTCATTCTTCCAGGCTTCCTCAAGTAAGGTTTTTTTTTTCTTTTTTTTTTGCCTTACAGCTTGTGAGACTGCAGCATGACAACAAGAAAGCATCTTTAAATGCAAATACTCCAGAATCTCACTGTAATGCTGGCCTGTATCTCCTCTGCACCCCACCCTTTACTCCAGAAAGGCGCCATTTCATCCTGCTGTGCAGCCTGCGACGACCGGCATGAGTGCAAGATGCCAGGGTACGCGAATCACCTCCAGAGCTGGTTTCCTTAGCAGCCGTTAGTATAGCCTGCCATGTATAGAGATGGCTTTTGAATGTAGATATAATTATTACAGACACATCTCAGGGGCGTGTAGACTACCCTAGCTACCAACAGGCCCCTTTGGAGAGCTATCCTCCAGAAAAATCTGGATGGACCCAACAAGTCTCATTCTCCTTCTTGAATATCCTGCAAGATCTGGATGAGGTTTTCCAGGCCAAAGATATAGCCTGGATCCGGTCCATCGTAGGTGGTGTGTTCATTCCAGGAGCCTTTGTATGTTGTGTGAGCAAAGTCGATCATCCGGATGTCAACTTTGACGACATTGCTGCCGTGGGGCATCTGCAGAGTCTCCTGCCCATCGTAGATGATGAGGAGAGAGCTGGAGTAGAACCGGTATGAACTCTGGCTCCTAATGACTGAGAGGAGGGCCCGGAGCTGGCGCTGGATGGGCTCTAGCAGCTCCATCCGGAGCCGGGTCCCATCGTGTAGGAACTGATAAAGCGCTTGCCTGAAGCCCTCCACTGAGAGTTTTCTTCCATAGTACTTGTCTTTGAAGAGAAAGTGCTTCTTATCGGTTTGATAAACCTTACATTAAAAAGAAGATAGAAAATGTGAAGAATTGCAAACTTAAAAAAAAAAATCACATCTGCTACAGGGGCAGCATCACAAACTACCTAATATATAAACAGATTTCTAGAGATGCAGGGCAAGAATGGCTGCAATGACTGGCAGGATGATCTTTTATCAAGCACCAGTGTAACTTTTACATTTTAAAATGCTTTCTGTGCAAGCCTTTAATAGGAATCCAAGGTCTAAAGATCCTTCATCCTATGAAGGTGACCCTCCGCCCACCAGGAAAAGGTTTGGATCTCCTTTCTTGTGAATTTCCAGTGTCAACCTCCAAACCATGATTTGAACCCTGGCTTCTGGCCCTCTTTAAATATTAGCAAACCCAAGCAAGAAAGCTTTAGTGGGAATCTGAAATCACAGCCAATGGCCTTGGAAAGCCAAGTAGATTAAAATTTCCCCCAACAAAGTTTATGAAGTCCTTTCTCTGCAGATTCTAAGAAAACCGTAATGGCTCTGGGTGTAGAGTGGGGTGAATTGTTTGGAGATGAAAAGACAGGCTAGATCAGGTGTGGATGGAGTTTTCAGGCAGCCAGTGAGGTTGAGGGGAGCCTGGATGGAGCAGGGAAGGTTCGCAGCAGCTCTGTGGGGTTGGTGGCTCCTCTCTTTAGCATCAGCCCTTCTCCCCTCCCCTGTCATGTCTTGGCCACCGGAAGGGAGCAGATGGAGGAGAGATGCCGAGTGGGGAGACAGTGGCAGCCGCTCCCATTTCATTCAGATGACAGAGGCGGGCAGAGGCTGAACGGAGGTCAGTGGCTGGCATGGCCAGAGGGTGAGTTGGCACACCTCTGCCTGGCACACCTGGGAAGGGCTGCCCGTACCTGACCAAGACAGTTTCTCAGGTCTTCCCTGCCTTCAGATTACATGATATGTTTACAGAAAACAGGAATTGAAAAAAAAAAAATCAGAAAGATACCATCGACTTGGTGTTGCCTTTGGAGGGCTGGAGATCAGCTGTTACAATTAGCCTTCCTAAGCACAAGACAGGCATCTCTTTGTAAATAAATCAGATCAATTTCAGAAGGTTTGAGGTCCAGAGAGAGATTCCATGTACTCCACAAATTGTCACACTCCATTCTCTTGAGGACTGTATTCCAAGCCTTCCTAGGGACATCTGTGCCACACATTTATAGACTCAACTTCCAGCTTCAAGGGGTGGCAGTTTCAATTAAGGAAAGCTATAACGATTACCATCAAATCCGTGTCTGGTTTTGCTTTAGTAGATAGACTCTAAGAGTGAGCCGCTGGAGGAAGTTTATTTCCTCCTGTTCTCCTGCAGCCTTGGCTATAAGCCACATCAGAACAGCAAAAATGAAGTGTGGAGTCGGGGCAATAAAAAATTAACCATTCCTTTGCTGGGCTTTGCAGGTTACGACCTTCCCACTTTGTTAACGAGAAGAGGTAGCAAGAAGCAGCAGAAAAAGCAGAGAAAGAACAGGAAATGGCCAGTAACGATTCAAAGAGCAGATTGCCTGCCAGCATCTGAGAAGGAGAGGGTTCAGCTTCATGGTTCAAGAGAACGAGGAACCAACGGGGCACGCAGAGAAGCTTTCTCTCAGTTCTCTCCCAGACCTGCTGGCACACTGTCATCAAAGGTCTGCTCTCAACATGGGCAGGACCAACGTGGTCACATGGAAAGTTCCAACTGCCAGAGATCCTGAGATGAGTTTAAAAATGGTGGTTTTTAAAATTTTATTGACGTACAGTTGATTTACAATGTTGTGTTAATTTCTTCTGTACAGCAAAGGGATTCAGTTATATACATTCTTTTCCATTATTGTTTACCACAGGATATTGAATATAGTTCCCTGTGCTCTACAGTAGGACCTTGTTGTTTATCCATCCCATGTATAATAGTTTGCATCTGCTCATCCCAAACTCCCAATATATCCCTCCCCCCCCCACTTGGCAACCACAGTGTGTTCTCTATGTGAGTCTGTTTCTGTTTCATAGAAGTTCATTTGTGTCATATTTTAGATTCCACATATAAGTGATATCATACGGTATTTGTCTTTCTCTGTCTGACTTATTTCACTTAGTATGATCATCTCTAGGTCCATCCGTGTTGCTGCAAATGGCATTATTATGGCTGAGTAGTATTCCACTGTATATATATACATCTTCTTTATCCACTCATCTGTCGATGGACATTTAGGTTCTTTCCATGTCTTGGCTATTGTGAAAAGTGCTGCTACGCACATAGGGGGTGCATGTCTCTTTTTGAATTACAGTTTTGTCCAGATATATGCCCAGGAGTGGGATTGCTGGATCATATAGCAATTCTAATTTTTTTTTTTCATATGGCAATTCTATTTTCCGTTTTTTGAGGAACCTCCACACTGTTTTCCATAGTGGCTGCACCAATTTACATTCCCCCCAAATGGTGGGGTTTTGATATCACTATCCTGAAAGGCGCTCTTTAAAAAACCCAGTGTGTCCTAGGCCAGGATACACGTTTTCTTGGTGAAAGAGGTGCTTGGCTGCCGTCTCTGTTGCTCCCACAAAATGAAGGGTCCTGCGGGGGGCAGCAGCATCTGGATGGGAGACATCCTTGCCCCTAGTGGACATGCCAGGGTGCCCAGCCCCGCAGTTGTCCCCCACCTACCTGCATGCCGCAGATGCGCACGCCCAGGCAGGCCGAGGTGCTCCGTGCACACTTCCTCATGTGGCGGGCCTTCTTCTCCTCCGACGCATCGTCCCCGTGCTGCCGGGTCCCCATCTTCAGGTCTAAGATGCAGGGATGCTTGTACTGTGACACGACGTTTTCCAGCAGCAGGAACCCTGGTCATGCTACTTTAAGGAAGGCTTCTGAGGACATAAAGGCCACTACCCCACAGGAGGCGGTTAGCAGGCCTCTGAAGCTGGCTGGAGATTCCCTCCTCTGAGCCCCATCCCTTCACTCCCATTTCTTTCATTACAGACCAGCCTGTCAGTCGCTGTGAAGAATTCAAGGTATTAACTTTGCAGGCTGCTTTCATAAGTCCATTTATTTAGGGGGAGTTGACGAGGATGTGAGCTTTTTTTCCTTTTCCTTTTTGCTCTGAGGTTGTAATTTAAATTCAGGAGTGAAATCCCTGGCAGGCCATGCCCAATTTACATGTTATGGCAGAAAATCATAAGGCTAAAACCTCGAGTCACTGAATGGGCCAATACCTTTTGGGGAGAAGTGGGCTGATATTAGCTTCAGAGATGAGTTGCAGGAATATTAATTTCAGCGGAGTAGTTATCCTGCAAAAGCTTATTAGGGATGAGGGCTGCAGGTGTGTCTTAGTAAATACAGAGAAACCAGCCACCGGTGTGTGGGAAGGAGCCCAGAGGTGACAAAAGGGGGGCATTTCAAGCCTGAATTTGCTCACTGAGTTTGTGGGAGGTGTAAAAGGGAGGATGGGTGCAGGGACCCACCCTCCCTTTGAACCCGCACCCCTACCCCCACCCAGCATGGCAGTCATCTTTCCTATCTGCCCACAGAGACCCCAGCCCTGTCCATCCCCACTGCCCAGGTGGCAGAGACACAGTCAGTGGCCCAAACAGGGTTACTCTGTTCAGCTTTTCCCGCAGTCCTCCTTCCCCAGCCTCTGGCTTTTCTTTTGGAGAGATCTGCTTTCTCCCAGGTCCCAGGTGGGAGGGCTTGTGCCTCCCACTCTCTCTCACATCAGGCTGTCTCTCCCTACCCACACCTCCCTTGGCCCTGCCCCGAAACGTCTGTCTATCACTCCCTTCACCGCCCCGCGCCCCTGACAGCACCGTGCGCAGTGGTGGCTGGGCGGGCGGGCGGGTCATGGGCAAGGATACGGTGCCTCTTGTTCTCAGGGTACTCAGCGCACAGGCGGCTCAGGTGGGCCTGGTGGCAGTGCAGGCCCCACGGGTTAAAGCTTCTCCTCTCTGTCTGGTTCCCGTTCACATCCTCCACCAGGGAGGGGACTTGGGCCTTGAGGTGGAGCTCGGGCCTCAGGAGTGCTGTGGCTGGGCTGCGGGCGGGGGGAGCACACGACAGTCAGGGCCCCTGTGACTGGCTGGGCTCTCCTGGCTGGACCCTGATGTGGACTCTCCCTGGCTACTCTCAGGATGCCTGCAGGACCTCGGAGTGCCCTGCCGGCCCCGCTCAGGCCCCGGGGCACCAGATCAGGCCACGCTGCAGGCCTCGAAGGGGTCTCTCTAAAGTCCAGAATAACTCACCGGAGCACTGAGGCGGTTTAAATTCACTTGTAAATGACCTGGGTCATTACCTCCCTTTGGAGGCAACACAGTATAGAGGTGGCGACCATGCCTGGAATCAGAAGGCTGGAGGTTAGGCTGTTACTGTGGCTTCAGATGCCATGGGGCGAAGAATCATAGGTCCTGGGTCCACCCTCTCCTGCCCTCTGCATCTCGGCTTCCCCGTCTGTAACATGGAGATAATATGCACCGCTTCCTGACGCCAAGCCAGGAGGCTTAATTAGATCCTTGGGGAAGGGAGGTACTTTCATTGTATTAGCTCCCTTTTGTTTCCCATAAGAGTTTAAAAAATCCCCAGGGATCCTTTTCATCTGAGAAAGGTCAGCTGATCTGAGAACTGTCCAAGGACCCTGGGCTCCCGCCTGAGTCTCCAGGGCCCCACGGAGCGCTGCAGTTGACCTCTCTCCTCTCCAGGCTTGACCGCTACAGAAGGTGATTTTAGAGAGGCATTAGCCACACTTTTCCTTTATGTCAACTCTTCTGGGGTTTCTGCTCTGCACATTTTCCCCCTCCAGAGACACCTCATGGTCTCAGTGAAACAGGTATTTAATGAAACAAATATACACTGAATGTCTGCTCTGTATAGGACTCGGCGTGTGCATCCACTTCCGAGATGAAATGAATTGAAATCCTCCCTCTAGAAGTGGCACCAAAGAAAATGCATTCCTTTTTTTTTTTGGTCACGTGGCTTATTCTAGACAGAGCCTTCATCGGAATTTCTCCTTTTCTCGGCTCTGGCCCTGATGGGGAGCCATCGGCCTGGGCACAGGTGGGAGCAGTGCTGGTGCCTGCTAGGGACGTGCGGCCCGGGTTCTGTCATCCTGCCAAGTGGCCCTCACCTCTCCTTGAGTGAGTGTGCCAGCTGGGTGTGCTGCCACTGGGGGAGGGGGAGGGCACCACCGCTGCTGGTGGTCTGCTGGAGGGTCTGCCATATGGCCACGGCCGCCGACTCCGTGGAGACCTGGAAGGGCCCCCGGATCTCCTTCAGTGGGTTGGCAACCAGGCTGAGATGGCCTCGGCTGTCTTTCCGGAGGTGCACGGTGATGGTGCCTGCAGAAGGGGAGGGATGGAGAAACCAGATGACATTTACGGAGTGGATGCAGTGTGATGTCCTTTTGAACTATAGTTTAATGGCAGTGGTCAACTGCCCCCCTTCCCCAGCTCGTCTCTCAAGGAAGAGCTACGGGGACTGGCCTCAACCCGATCCTGTTCCAGAATGAGCCCAGAGCTGCGGAGCCTGCAGAAAATGGCCTCGTATGGATGCTGGCAAAGCTTCTGCTTCGTCACCTCTCCCTGCCCCTTCATGCTTGAAACAAAGCAGCTGTGTACATTTTGTCCTCATATCTCCACTCCTCCGTGCGCGAGCACACCACCCAGGCACCCCGCAGCACCCCACCGGGGCCCAACCTGGGGGCATCCGAGCTGGTCCTCTGCAAAGAGGGCCCCCGCCTCTGAGTGGCAGTGAGGGAAGCCGGGGGCTCCTCTCATTCCTGCCCCTTGTCCTCTGCCTCCTTCGACACCCTGGTTCTCCCCTCTGTTAACCTGTATCTGAGCAGCTTCTTCCAGGAAGCCTTCCTCTAACAGCCTCCTGGTGCTCGGGTTGCCCCTTCTTTCATCCTCCCCCCATCCCTGGCTTTCACACTGACGTTCGCCATTGCCTACGGTTAGACGCACAGCACGTGAAGATTATGGACAGAATGTGGTTCTTTGATAGAAAACAGAAGGCGTGTGAGATTTCTCCAATGGTACCTCCTAACCACCGGTGTTTGTAATCCAGGCATGACATCCTACTCCAGTCGCTGGCTGTGATAGCGAAGGATGTGAGGACACCCACTGAACCCATGCGCTAGCCGAGCTTCTCCTTTAGGACATTGACCAGGTCAGGTCATTGGCTCTGACCTGTACGTTAATGGCTCTCTGGTGTTCTTTGGACTTCTCGCTCTGGTGGCAGGGTCCAGCCCTCCCTCTGTGGGTGCCCAGCCTCGCCAGAGTTCTGGTGAAGGTGGAAGATACACATGGTCGTGGCCCGGGAGACGGCCACACGAATGTTTTTGAGAGAACCGGCTCTCTAGAGTCCTTTGCTCCCTGTTCTTCCTGCAGCTGATGCCGTGAGGACCCTCTCTTTGCTCCTTCTTCTATCAACCCATTCTCCATCCATCTTGTGCCTGGGGGCTGACTCTGGCATGCAGCAATGGCTCTTTTTTTTTTTTTTTTTTTTTCCGGTACGCGGGCCTCTCACTGTTGTGGCCTCTCCTGTTGCGGAGCACAGGCTCCGGACGCACAGGCTCAGCGGCCATGGCTCACGGGCCCAGCCGCTCCACGGCATGTGGGAACTTCCCGGACCGGGGCACGAACCCGTGTCCCCTGCATTGGCAGGCGGACTCTCAACCACTGCGCCACCAGGGAAGCCTGCACCAATGGCTCTTTTGCCTGACAGTTGGGCCAATGAGGGACACTGGCTGGAGATGGGGGGAGGGGAGGAGAAAGGTTGGGGCTTTATCCCACTTGTTCCCTCCCTGCTGCGGCATGGCTCTGCCGTGGCTGTGTTTCTCTGCAGCCTCCCTCTTGCTCAACTCCATCACGCCCTCACCTTGGCCCTTCAGGCCTGGGATTGGTTACAGTCTTCCAGTCGTGCCGCTCCCTGGTTGCCTCACCATCCCCAGTTGTTCCCCCCCTATTCTTTTCGGCAGCGCTGCATGGCATGTGGGATCTTAGTTCCCCAACCAGGGACCGAACCCATGCCCCCTGCAGTGGAAGCATGGAGTCCTAATTCCTGGACTGCCAGGGAAGTCTCCCCAGTTGTTCCCTTAATCCTGTGTGCAATTCTGTGAATAGTCCCTTGAAAAATTCTCTTTATTTAACTCCCTTGGCATGTACTGCTCATTTTCCGCTGGGACCCTGACAGATGGGAGGGTTGTCTGTGGTCACATCCTCCCAGGTGTTGCTTTCCTCCCCTGGCCACTTGGTCACCTTCTCAGCGTTTAAGTGGTCATTTCTGCTGAACCAGCAGCCAAGGCAGCTGATTTCCCCTCGTGCGGCCCTGGCCGGCCCTCCTGGGCTGCTCAGAGCAGACACTCATTTTGAGGGCTGCTCTATAATTCAGCGAGGCACGCTCCAGGCCCATCTGTGCCTAGCTCAGTGGTCTCCCTGGGCCAGGCCTGTCATCTCAGGTTCCCAGTGTCCTAATTCTGCAGCCTGAGCGTGACCTTCGGTTCCCTCCAGTTCCTTAAAAAACTCTGCTCTTCCTTAGCTCATCCCAGGCCCCAGTGTCCCGTGAAGTAATCATGATAGTAACCATAACAGAGCATTCTGTAGTTTACCTGGACAGTAGCCTGCATCCCTAGACCAAGCCCACCAGGGCTGTCCTGCTCATGAGAGCAGGGGGCTGATGGCAGGTCAGGGACACAAGTACGGTAGTAATAACCACTGCCTGGTCTTTTACACCTACTGTGTGCCAGCATTATGTGCATTTTGTTGATCACTAAGCCTGCAAGGCACTTGACTGTGGTCACTGAGGCTCAGAGAGATTGATAACTCACCCGAGGTCACACAGCTGGTAAGGGATGGAGGCCACGCCAGCCGTGAATGTGGGAGACGGAACAGGCTGTCGCACTGAGCCTGGGACTTAATCGGGAGACTCCTGTGTCATCACGCTATGTTTACCTGTGTGTGGACGAGGCACACTCCTGCTGTGTCCCCAGTCACATTTGTTCTGGTCATTCTGTTCCACAGGAGCGAACGGAGAGGCTACGATGCCACCACCTCGTGAGAGTGCCGAGGGCCGGAAGCGCCAAGAAGCCCAAGGATACGGTGTTACATTTCCAGCCTAGACTTCTTGGCGGGAGGGTCACTGTGCTTGTTCCGGGGAGGAGGACTGGCCTGGGAACCACCCCCAGGCCCCAGAGCCTACCCTCCAGGTGTGAGAAGAGGGGGAGCTGGCTGGCCTCTGTGCTTGCCTTGGGTGTCCATGGGGACTTGGCGGCCCACGGGCTCCCAACACTCTGCTGTCCCTGCCTGGCCAGGAGAGTGGGGGACCCCGGCCCTGTCTGCCTGCTCACCAGCCCCCCAAGCACCTGGGCAGACACGAGTGCTCACTGCCTTGGCTGACGTGCCCAGAGCATCTCAGCAATTTCGATTTGGCTGAGCAGCTTCCGTGAGTATTCTGTCATGTGCTTATTTTTAAGCTCATGAGAACATTTATTTGCCGCCGTCTGTAATATGAATCTGGCTCATCCACTACCAACTTGACCTAGGAGCATGTCCTCACTCACCCAAAGCCGATGGGCAGACTGGGAGGCAGACGGACACAGCCTCAAGACGCTGTCATGCCCAAGGAACCCAGCAAAGGGTCCAAGATGAGCTCCTGGCACAGGGAAGCTGCCCTTGGGAGCGACGTGCCTGCCCAGCAGTCCACTGCCGTCACCGTGCAGGGAGTGAGAAGGAAGAGGGTGGGCCCTGGGGCATGCGGCGGCCACGTCAGGAACAGCCTCTCTTTCTGGGTTGTTCCCACCAGCAAGAAAAGGGAGACCCCTGTGGCAGCCTTGTGGGTGTTCGAGTTCCCCTGACCTGAGGTCACTAGCTGAGTGACCCTGGGCAAGTCACATCCCCTCCCACGTTGGGCTGGGTGACCCCTGAGCACTGGCATCTGAGGAGTTGTCTCTTCAGTGATAGTCACTGGTGGAGCCGGCCTGGGGGGCTGAGAGCCCACACTTGGGAGCCATACTTGAATTCTGGCTCTGCCTCACTAGCTGTGTGGCCTGAGGCAAGTTGGGTAACCTCTCTGTGCCTCAGTTTGCTAACCTGTGAGATGGGGATGATAGAAACACCTTCCTCAGAGGACTGTTGTCAGGATTCAACGAGTCAGTCATGGAAACTGCTTCCAGTGTGTCTGGCACTGAGTGAACACTAAGGGTTGGCTGATATTACTTTTCTTTTCTGGTGAAACAAGATGCCCGCACAGCCTGAGGTCCTCTGAGGGACCCTTTCCCATCCCAAACCTGACTTCAGCTCCCTGACCCTGGCGTCTGAGGGCTTGAGGGTCCCAGTTCTGGGCCCTTTCTAGTGTCTCCTCAGATGTACGCTTCCTTGGGTGGTGCCTGGATGCTGGCACCACGTGGACCGTGTTCGGGCAGGTGAGGGAATCAGCATTTCTGCATCATCGAAACCTCCTGTTTGGGTGTCACGCCAGCCCATGGGCTCTGCCTCACTCTCACCCTCAGTCAGGCTGTTTGGTCTCACCTGAGAGATGTCCTGTGGTTCCCTGACCCAACCCCTCCCGACTTGTTTGCAAACATCATCTCCTGAATGAAGCCCCAAGGCAAAGACTGATGCATGAACTGATGACTCAAATTAATCTATCAAGTTAGCAGGGCCCAAGGCGGGTGGTACCAGGATGGGCCCAACCTGAGAGGGAAGCAGGGCAGAGGAGGGGTCTGGAGAGTCAACAGTGCCCAAGACTCCCCAGAGTGGTGCGGTCCTAACCCACCTGCGCCCGCCCGCCGCCCCCCGCCAAATGGAGGATGGCTTGTGCAGACAGGGAACGGGGAGGGCACCAGGATGTGGTCCTGGAAACCCACCGGCCTCTTTCACTTCCCCGCTCTGCCTGGGGCTGCCCTGGCAGCCTGTCTCAGCTCCAGAGCTGTGTCAAACCAGCGTGAAATGCTGCGGGCAGGAGGCCACCCCACCCGAGATCCTGCCGCCCCTTTGCTGGCTTGAGTTCAGTTGTGAAGGGCCAGATGTTAGCTCCAGTGGGTGCTCAGACAAGATGGGCAGTGAACCACAGCTGATGGGCAACACCGGCCTGCGGACCCAGAGGGCCCTCGGGGAGGCCTGCAAAGGCTGTACACCAGCCATCCACCCCTGTCTCTCATTTGTCTTATCTCAGACTCTCAGAGGTGCTGGCAGCCCATGACTGAAGCAATGCCCAGGGCTCAAGGCCTTGGGCCCCTCTCAGTGGGTCTGAATCTGGAGCATACTGAATACAGATTCCTAGGCCCTGACCCTAGAGATTCTGATTCAGAGGTCTTGAATGGGGCCTGGGAGCCTGCGTTTAAACACACACACACACACACACACACACACACACACACACACACCAGCAATTCTGGTAAAGTTGGTTGATCCTGCATCCCACTTTGAGAAACACCGATGAAGACAGGCCCCATCCTTCCCAGTTATCCACATCACTGAAATGCAGGTAAGTTTTTAACTGACTTATTAGAGGTTTAAAATCCTCTAAAGGAGGTCTTTTCTCTGAGTATGTATCCCTTTGTGGGCCCGCGGCTGGCAGAGTCCTGCCCTGAGCCCTGTGAACCGCTTTTACCGAAGGCTGGATGTGAACAAAACAGCCTGCCCCGCGGATGCTGGCAGCCCACAGAGTGCCCCTGTCCGGAGGTCAGCAAACAGCAGCCCTCACCCCCCACCCCAGCCTTCTCTCCCCAGAACCTACTCTGTGCTCAGATCCAGAACACATACTGCTCCGTGCACTGTTTCCCCAGCTACACCGCGGAAATGCCGCGGCTTTGCCCTTGGATGAGGGTGGGAATTCTGGTTTCCCAAACACACTGTGAACCAGCCCCTCCATAACCTGTCTCAGACCCGAGGCTCCTGCCATGCACCTGGGTCACCTGAGGGAGGTGAAGGAGGTCTCCACCTGTCCCGTGTTTACCAACCACAGTCACAGGACCCAGCCATGGCACTCCCAAAGCACAGACCAGGATGCCCCATCGGGGCGGGGTGGGGCTGGGCAATCACTTTATCCCATTCTCAATTCCTCGAAGCCTGATGGCTTGAGCTAACTTGTAGGATGCCAAATGGCATAACACTCCAGGCCTGGAGGCTCAAAGAGTTTAGAGAAACTGGGGCTGTGAAGGCCAGCTGGGCTGTGGAGAGGGGCAGGTCTCCATGGCAACACTTCAACACACCACCGTGCTTGAGGAGGTGGCAGGTGTGTGCGCCCGCCCCGTGCTGGCCCCATGCGGGGATACTGAGCACAGGGGACTGCCCAGACACTCACCTTTGTACTGCGGAGTGAAGCGCTTCATGGCCAGTGGCAGGGACTCGTAGAACCTCTGCTCCTGGGAGATGAGGGGCTTACACACCGTATACTCATCATACTTCAGTACGCTCAGGTGACCTCCGACCTGGTGCAGGAAGGGCTCCAGTGGCACGCCAGGGGTGTCCATGCTGTCCTGCACCACCATGCTTCAGCGTGGGAAGGGGGCAACTCGCAAATCCACAAGAGGAGGGAGGGCTTGAGGTCGAGGTAGCAGCTCCCGGACAGAAGGCGGGGCTGTCAGCAGTCCTCAACTTTCTCCTTCTTGGCCTTTATCGCTGTCATAGCACAGGTGTCTTCCTGGCTGAGGGCTCTTGGTGGGGTTCCCTGGAAAGCAGAGGAGGAGGGGAAAAGATGTGAGGGGGGTGGTGTGCTGGTGGGGGCAGCACTTGAAGTCGCCAGCCACGACCCCCAGGTAGTTAAACAAGACTGTAAATAGGCATCGATTTCTTCTGGAATAATCTGTTACAAGCAACTGGTAACAGTTACTGCCTCTGGGGAGCAGGGCTGAGATGGAGACTTTTCACTAAATACCATTTTGTGCCTTTTGAATTTTAATATTAAAACGTTCAAAAAACAATACCTAAAACTGTAAGCTTTCAGAGTGCAGTGAGTGTGTCTGAACTTCTCATGTCCCGTCGTCTGCCTTTCTTTGGGAACTTTGATCCCAACCCAACGAGAAGAGAGCAGAGTCCCTGCTGGTGGGGACTTACCATCCTGCAGGGGCTGGAGGGGTACAGGAATGCTTCATTTTGATATTGCATATACATCTGCTGTGCACCATCATGACTCCACAACATTATTGCTATGTGACCTGGGGAAGTTACTAAACCTCTCTGGGCCTCAGTTTCCCCATCTGTAGAACAGGATAATTATGATACCCATCTCGTGGACTTAGGGTTCAGAACTGAGATATAAGCCCATGAAAAGGTTAGCCCAGTGCCCGGAGCTAAGTGCTCAATAAATGTGATTTATCATGATTATTTCTAGCATTACTGCCATGGTGGTCATATTTTCCTACCGGTACTGGGAGGGCCGGTTTTATCACTGCTGCTTGCAAATGAGGAAAGCAAGGCCTTTGATGGCTTGCTGGGGCCCACCTCAGGCCAGGAGCACAGGCAGAATTTAAGCGGGGGTTCCTCGTCTTGTCCTCCACCACGTGTGCATCCTTCACCCTCCCTAAGAGCGGGCCTGCCGGACCTCAGGCAAATGCTGGAACACTGGGCTGGAAACATGGCCCCTAAAGACATCCTGACTTTGTCTCAGGAGAGTGCCAAGGAGACACTGCTAGGGGAGGCTCTTATGGTCGTATTCATCCTGTTCGAGAGGACGTTCCCGCAGCGGTGCCTGTCACCACGGAGTTATTAATACTCTCTCCTCTGCTGGACTCCCGGCCGGCCAAGGATGCAACTAGGCTAGGCAGTGCTGGGCGTGATTAACCCTCTGTTGACCTTCATTCCAGACCATGGGCATGGCTGGCTGGCTCCACACACAGCAGTACCTGTCAACTGCTTCAGGACTCCAGCTCAGAGAAGCTCCCACCAGCCACCTGGACCTCCAGCACCAGGCGGAGTTGAAAGCCTCAGCCCGGCCCGACACTCCCCTCCAGGGCGCCGCTCCCGAATTGACTACTATTTGGCAGGCCATAGAGCTCCCCTTTAGGAAGGGAAAGGGGGTGGCTTCTGCCTGGTGTGTGCATTTGCTTTGCCGGATGCGTGGCTGAAGCATGACTGGGGAGGCTGTGGGTGCTGGGGCGAGGCCTTGGGGCGAGGAGGACTGGGGCCTGTTGGCGAGGGGCTCCCCCCAGCCCTGCTCTGAGTCCACCCAGAGGTGAGCCCTGCTTGGGATCTGCCCCCAGGAACTGAGGAAATAAGTTGGGAGGCATCTAGATACAAGGAAAATCGGGAATCAGCCCTAGGATGAGTTGATACCTTCAGTCTGGTTATCAGACAAGACATCACAGTTCCTTGGCAAACCCAATCCTCCTTGCAAACTTGGCCGAAGCAGGAAGGAGGAAGGAAGAGAAAAACCAAGGCAGCCTGACACCTCTGCTCAGACCGGGCTCACTTGTGTGTCAGCCTTTGCCAGCTCACCTGTCCCCGGGTAAGGGGGGAAGAGGCGCTTCTGGTAAGCAGAGGGACAGCCAGGTTGTAAAGCTCATTTATAGCCACTCCTGGAAGGAGCCAAGGCCCCATGCACCACGCTGTCTCCCCAGCGCCTGGGGCTAACCAGACCTGGCCTCACCTTTGCAAGCCCAGCTCTGGCGGCGTCCAGGTGGAGTCCCAGTCAGGCCCTCGTGCTGCTGTGCTGGGCGGCCCACCGCCCTTCTTTCCCCACACCCCCTGTCCCCCCGAGGAGCTCTAAGGACATGGATGTCACCTACCAGTGGTGGCATGGGGAGAAAATAACAATAAATGGTAACGAACACACAGCCAGGCAGTGTGCCAGGAGTTTTACATAGATGAACCCATGTAAGCCTCACAACCGCCCTATGAGGTAATTAGTTATCGGCCTCATTTTACAGATGAGGAAAATGAGGCACAAAGAAGTTAAGTAACTTGCGTGTGTGTGCCCAGCTATTAGGGGGAGAACAGAGATTTGAACCCAGGCACACTAGCTCAGAGCATGCTTACCTGCCATGAGGCAGAGGGGTTGAGGGCTGCTGTTTCTCTACTTTGAGAGTCAGGAAACTGAGCCCCAAGGAGGCTGGGGCTTGGCCAAAGTCACCCGCAAGTCACTGGCTGTGCTGGACAGGGACTCAGGTTTTCTTGTCCCCAGGCCTGATTTCTCCTACCCTGATGCCCCCTGGCCTGCCCTCCTGCTACCTGATGACCGTGAGTGCATGTCCTAGTGGTGGCTGGGATCCATACCGCTGCAGAAACCATCGTGAGGGGTCAGGTGAGGTCCCCCTGGAGCTGGGCCTTGGTATTGACCGGCTTGGGGCTTTCTGTCTGGGGCGGTGTCATTCTAGCGCCTCTGCCTCCCATCCCTGCCACCCCCAGGGTCAGGTGTTCTCAGGAGCCCTGGTCAAACCTTCTCAGGGAGCCAGGATCAGCCAGAAGACCCCAGGCGTCTGAGACGGCTCACACACAGCAACGTAAACTCTCCTGCCCCAGACTTGGTGTGGGTTGGCAGTGGTGGGGTGTCTGCTGGGTAACCAGTTTGTACTTTTAAAAAAGCTCGGGGCTTCCCTGGTGGTGCAGTGGTTGAGAGTCCGCCTGCCGATGCAGGGGACACGGGTTCGTGCCCTGGTCCGGGAAGATCCCACATGCCGTGGAGCAGCTGGGCCCGTGAGCCATGGCCGCTGAGCCTGTGCGTCCGGAGCCTGTGCTCCGCAACGGGAGAGCCCACAACAGTGAGAGGCCTGCATACTGAAAAAAAAAAAAAAAGCTGGACTTGAATCTGGGGAAAGTGAGGCCCTTCCACTCAAGGGTCATCTTAGGGTCTAGCTTAGGGGATATCTGAAGGTCCTCTAGCTCCTGAGCTGTGTGGTCTGAGGTTCTGAGGCAGGTTGTGGGAAGGGGCGGAAGGAGGACGGATGGGCAGTGGCTTCAGCCCTCGGGGTACCTGCCTGAGGCAGGCAGGTGGGTTTTGCTGCTGCTCGGAGAAGCACTCTGAGGCTTCCCCTTGGCACTGATGCTGACCTTGGATTCCCAAGGAAGCTGAGGTTTCCTATCTGTTGCTGTGGGATTGAGCTAGAGAAGACCTCCATTCATCCCATCCTTCCTACCAAGTCCCAAATGAATAATTCAGGTTGACAGACCTTTCTTAGCCCAGACCTTCCTTTTGCCACGCGCAGGCACTTCTGTCATTGACCCAAAGCCTTGGCCTTTGAGCAATGCCTCTGGGCCCCGTTCTGTTTCCCAAGAGCACTGGGCAAGGAGTCAGGTGCCCGGGTCTGCTCCAGGCGTCCCCACCAGCTTGCTGAGGCTCCTGGGATGAATTGGGTAACTGTCTGAGTCTTCATTTACCGCCCATTGCCACAGCCTTGTCAGGACGCTCAGATGACAGAATGCACAGCCCTCCTTTGTGGAGTCCTTTTCCCAAGCGTCTCTACCACTTGAGCTTTGTCACTGTGTGGGCTGTTCTCAGGACTGACCCCTGTGACTCAGCGTGGGTGCTGGGAAGGCAGGTGAGGCGGTCACCAGAGACAGGATCTCACACCCCCTCTGACACACTGAAGGGCTCCCTTTAGTGCTTTGAAGGGAGACAAATGTCCCTCTCGCCAGCCCATGCCTCCTCCCACAGACCCACAGCCCAAACCTCTTGGCCAGCATCCTTCCCTAGTGCTCCTTGGAGAGGGAGAAGTGGAGGAAGGATGAAGGAGGGAGGGAGGAGGGAGAGATGCTCCCAGCCAGAGGAGCTCAGCCTAGTGCCCCCTCCCCTGGGAACAGTGGTCAAATGCCCCCAGATCCTTGTGTCCTCCTGCCCTGTCACTGGATCATGTCCTGAATGAAATGACTCTGGGCCTCACCCCAGGAGACTCAAAGGCTAATTTCTCTGATGGGGCCCGGCCATCAAGCTGGTCGTTAAATAAGGCCCTGGACTGTCTGTGTCAGTGCAGCCCTGCGGGGCCTGAGCGACAGCCAGCCTGCGCTGGGTTGCAAGACACTCCCTGGTTTGAAAGGAGGGTCATGGACAGCAGGGCCTGCAGTTGTATTTGGCTCCCAGAGTGGGGACGGATGACAGTACCAGTGACGTCAGGCACAGTGACAGATGTCACCCATCAAGCTGAGGTGAATGAAGGCACTGTGGCTTGTCACCACCAATCGGCACATTTTAGTTCCTCTTCCTGAGATCCTTTTTGTATATACAACCTCTCCCCACAGGCTAAACCAGAGTTCATTAAAAATTACGGAAGATACACCTCTTTTAGAACTCGCCTCTCCCATTTTAGGGAATGTGGCAGGTGAAACCACAAATCAAACTTGTAAGGGTTCAGCTTGGACTAAATGAGTCATGATCTCTATCTTATCAGAGGCTGTCAGCTCCTTGTATCTGGAAACTAGTTGGTTGACTGTGGTTACTGTCAAGACTGTTCACAAATATTCTGTTTTCTCCTACGGGAATGTTGTATGATTTCACTTCCTTTTGAAGGTACGTTGGCCAACGTGTGATTTGCTTTGGCCGACATCGCATGGAGGGGAGTGACATATGACACTTCCGGTGGG